GGCAGTGCATGATAGAAGTAGGGATTTGTGATTTTATTTATTTGTGGAACCATAGTATAATTTTTCTGGATATGTGTCTGGCTGTTATGTAATACGATAGTGATTACGTGGCGGCATGTTAAAGGCGGTATGAAATTTATATTTCTGCTATCGAAAAAACGCATTAATTCATGGTAAGTGCATTTTATTTTTATCCTTGTTTTTATTTTGTAGAATGCTATGTTCATTGGTTCTTTAGTATGGATTTCTGTCGTTATTGTGTTGTTTTTTTAAAGTGTTTGAAATTTATTTTAGTTTTATTTTGTTGTTTAGTGTCTAGACTGTACAATCCGTAGATGTTTTTTTTTTAAAGTTGAAACAGAACGCTGTGTACATGGTATTATTTGAAATTTATTGTTGTTATGTTATTTTATTAAAGCGAGGAGTGCGTAGATCGTAGATTCCTTCCTTGCCTAAATTGTGCAATTCGTAGAATTTTTTTAAAGTTTAAACAGGATGCTGTGTACATGGTATTCTTTGAAATTTGTTGTTGTTATGTTAATTTATTAAAGCGAGGTGTGCGTAGTTTGTAGATTCGTTCGTTGCCTACGTTGTGCAATTCGTAGATGTTTTTTTAAGTTAAAACATGTAGCTGTGTACATGGATTCTTGTTCAATATTTTTTAATTAGAACTTTTACGTTTTTGCTATCTAATTTTTTGTTATTTTTTTTTCTTTTTTTTGTTTTTTTTCGGATTTTAGCTAAATTGTGTGTTCAAAACGTAGTTTTTGCATGTGCGAAAACCGCGTTTTTGGAGACATTTTAGGCTGAAAGTTCAAAATGTAGACAAAAAATTTACATAGTAATATGGCAGCGTGAAGTTTCTCGCCAAAAGTATTTGGCGAGAAATTTGGCGACTTGAGGGCGCATATCAGAGTAGTTCCGTTCCAAATGTAAAATATTGGCACAGCAGCATCTGCTTTGTAAATCTTTCTTCTGATGGCACAATTTTTGGTTGCAGTGGCATTTCCAAAGTAAAGCATGGTTTTATTTTGTGATTTTTGAACCAGCTGTTAAAGCATGCATAATGTCTTCTTCTCGGAAGAATTTCATTGTGATAGCGTACCATTTGGTAACTGCCAAGATGCATGATCTATTTCAATGGGTTTTTTTTTAAGTGAGCACTTCAATAAAAAGCAATTGAAAATTTCTAAAAGAAAATAATTGGATCAAGTTCATTTTTTTTATTTGTCATGATATCACAACATAACTGTTCATGAGGTGAAACGGGTTACACTGAAGCAGGCACAGATGCATTTGTTTTCTGAAAATAAAGATACATATCCAACTAGTTTTAAGCTACCACTTTTTTTTTGATTGAGTGTTGCAATACATAAAAAAAAAATACATTTCCAAGTTTCTTTATTTATATACGGGGCCCATCAGTGGCCGAGCGGTAAAGTCGCTGAACAGTGGTAGTTCGGTCCGAGGTTCGAATCCCGCGAACGGGCTGGCTGCATGGGCGTTTTCGTGGTTTTCCCCATGTGTAACGTGAATACGAGCCAGTTTCCCTTAGAAAGTCCTCGACGAAGGCATCCCTCCCCTTAGGCAGATAGCCCTCAAGGCTTTGCCATAATCACACACACACACGCTTTATTTATATACCTTAATTATATCGAGCATTTTATGGGCAGATTGGTCGAGCATAGTCTGTTCACATTTAAAGCAGGCCAGAGATATTGAAAGGTGAACATTGTTAGCTTAGATGTGGTTCTCCTGATACATCATTGTTTTTTTTTTTTATTTTAATGCAATGTATTTTCGGGATAATGCTGATTTTATTAACAATTTTTGTAATTTGAGATGAATGAGAAACAGCAGATATATGAAGGGACTTAAAACAGAGATTTAAGTCTCTTTATATATCTGCTGTTTAGATTTAAAAAAAAATCAGTACTTTCTGATTATTTGTACCCCCTTCCTGAAAAAATACTAACTGCTGGTGATAAATTTTTTGCCAAACTGAATAGGAAAAGCCAGCAGCTATTTTGAAAAATGGGGGGGCATACTAAGAATTACACAAAACATCAATCAATTAATAAAAAATAAAAATGCAAGAAACATCCATAATAAAACACTTACTCCCCCATTCTCCCTGTGTACACAGCAGTCTGTGTTTGCTTGAAAATATATCAGAGCTTTGCATAAATTGGGTATTGAACACGCTGTACACAACAATCTTTTCTTTTTTCGTAAAAAAACACCAGAGAATTCCACAAATTTTGTAAAATAAAATTCAATCATTTACAAAGTCCAACTTTATGGAAAGTGAGTTTTTGCATTATCTGCTGTTAGGAAAAACTTGATATATTTGAAGAAATACAACATTTTCTTTTTTCATCAGCCAGCAAAGTAACAGTTCCATTACAATACTTTAACTCCCCCTAAAAAAAGGAGCATTCAATGCACCAAAAACAAACACTAAATGGTCATGGTCATTGCGACAAAAATAAACATTAATGCCCATCAGTAAAATAAAAACAAACGTTAATGACCGTCATTTATCTGCTTGTGCATGCATACCAGGCTTGTCCTATAAATACATTTTGGCAACATGCTTTGCCTAATCAAATCACAGAGCACATTACCTTGTGAATGCTTTTCAGAAGCGTGCAGATAATCAGAAAGTAACAAATTTTCTGTTTGGCATTTGTGTAAGAGGGAAAACATGATGGTTATATATTTATGCATTTGTTGAAAAAATTAGGTTGTCAGTGTAAACTATCTACTGTGCTACTAAGTATATCTGTTGCATTACATTTAATAACAGAAATGTAAATTGGTTATATAATATAATTTCTAATACAGTCAAAAGTCGTTAATCCGGACTCGTCGGGACTTCGGTTATTCCGGATTATCGATTTTTCCGGATTATAGATCATCAGTGTAAATCGCGTAAGATGGCATGCAGAAATTATAAAATTAAAAATATGAAACCGTAATTTATGAAATAAAGAACAATTATGATCTAAAGAGTATCAAAATTTACAAAAAAAAAGCTTAATATTTATTTGTTTACTTTATTAACATTTCTTTCTTTCAATGTAAGTTGTTTAAGTTTGCTTCGTTTTATGTGATAATACTTTCTCTTTAATTCTATAAACAGACATAATTTCTTGTTCAGTTACAAAGTTCCACTGTTCAAGTCCCGTTAATTGCTGTGCCGAGAATACCGACTAACTTGTCAATCGAAATTTTTTCGTTTTCACTAACCTCTCTGTCACATTCTTCATGTCTTTATCCATTTTTTGCAGCAATTCCACTTTTTGTTTGATGGGCATCGAAACATACTTCGGTGCCCATCAAACAAAACGATCCTTTGGGAGCTACAGAATCTAAAATTCTATTTGACATAATCGAAATTTCAAGTTTACTTTTATAGTATTGATCTTACAGTCTGCAAAAAATAATAAGCCGGATCCAATTCGAAAATTAAGGAACAACGCAATCATCAACATTAACTGATTTAGATAATTAGATAATTTTAGCTTATACCGTCCGTTATACATAAAACGCGCACGCAAAAACGTATTCTGCGCTTGCGCACATGCAAATGCGCAGTCGTAACAGGTCTTACTCGCACGCGTAAACGCCTATGCGCATGTGTCAGCGCGGCGCATGCGCAGAAAGTTTTTAGCTTTGAGGTCCGGATTATAGATCATTCCGAATTATGGGTGTCCGGATTAACGACTTTTGACTGTATTTCCTTTGATAATTTTGACATATTTGATAAACGTCTTACTTAAACTTTCCATCATGCTTAAGCTCCATCACGCTTATTTTTCCATCATGCTTAACATAATTTATCTTCCAAAAAATAATAAATTTTAAATGAATAGCAATTACCAAATCTATGCCCATGACTTAGCTCATTAGTATTAGTTCTAGTTAATTTATTAATTTGTCATTCTTGAATTAATGTATTGTATTTTTGATTTTTTTTAAAAAAAGATATTTCAGAATTCATAATATTTTAAAAATTGAGTTTAACAGTTAGAGCAAAAGAAGTCATTAAATACCTTTTTTTCACTGTATGCTTTAAGGCAAGCTGATTATTAAAATGTTGCATTTTATGTTTCTTGAATGTTCTTTCGCATTACTTGTTCAGTACAGTTTGAAATGTTCATAACTAGCTATAACATAGATCATTGTTTTAAGAAATATATTTCATATTATATTTATAATTACATTCTAATCAGTTTTTAATATTAGCTTAATTTTTTATCCACTTATAACTTTTTTAATGTTGAATTAAGGTACTTTCGGATTACCAGCACCTTCACCAAAATCCCGCGGAAAAAGTATTTAGGTAACTCACTATATCAGTAAAAATTATTTATATGGCAACCCACAATAGTAGCTCAAAAGTATTTATGTTGCAACCTTGGTATATGTTTAGCATACCCCCAGATGGTTTCTACTTTGTGCATTTTTGCAGATTATGATCCCTTCTACTGGAATTTCAGAATGCTAGCATAGCAGGAGACTTTGTACTGCAGTTTCCATTGTCTTCAGCAAAATCTTGGACTTAGTTTTTACAGACATTGAGCATAAATGGCTGGAGTGAAGACATCATGCAGCCCTGTTGTGGTTCTCTCTTTAAGATTTTGGTACAGAGATTGCACTATGAAGAGTTTGTGCAAGGTCTCTTTTTTTTTTTTTTAAGACAAAACAGATTGCTGTGTTGAGTCTTTTTTTTTTTTTTTTTTTTTTTTTTTTAAGCTAAAACAAGTTGCTGTGTGCATGAGCATAACAGGTGTCATTAGATGTGTCACTGATATCGATGTAAATGTTTCTGTTCAGAGTCAGCAGTGAGTTTATGGCTTTATGGTAAGGGTGTGGACAATCTGAAAATAACTTAATTAATTTCTGAATGTTATTATATATTAACTAGCATTTTTCAAATATATTTTGATAATGGTTTTTTTTTTTTTTTTTTTTTTTTTTTTTTTACATTTTAGCTCATGGGGTGAATCCTGTTTTTTAATGATTGAAACTGCCATTATTGGCTTTTTAATTCTGTTGTATAGTAGTCGACTTCGGCAAGCCAATGCATTTGCCGCATTTTACAGTATTGCTATCTACATGTTATTTAATGGCCTCATTCCAATGTCAGTCTTGTGGAGTATGCAGATTGCAAATGTTCCAATTGTTGTATGTGGGAAAGTGAGTGAAATTTAAGCATCTTCTTTTTTGCTTTAATAATTGTTTTATTTTTACCTCTGTATATTGCATAAAATAAGTTGTGCAATTTAGATATGGCATAGAGTATCTTTCAAACAAGTAATTTATTAATGAAAATACTTAGTGCTCTATTAAGATTTAAAAATGTTTTCTACAAGTAATAAAACAGAAGGTTTAAAACTATACACTTCTTGTAGAATGAATAAGCACAGCAAAACATTTATTTTCAAAGAATACAAGTGTGTGTATTCATGAGGTGTATATTATGCAAATAAACAAATGACTCCATAATTTACTCTCTGACCTTTAATTAACTGAACACTGTTTACAAAATCAAGAACATCAAACAACAATCTACCACGTCACCAGAGCACAGAAGACTGTCTGTTTTCCCTGGTAAAGAGTTGAGCTGCAGAAAGGTCTTCTTGTGATATCAATTATTAATACTGATACAATTGCTACAGCATATCTCATCTGTGATTAAAGTAAACAAGACAAGACAAAATGATGCAAAAATTTGAAATTGTACAAAAATTTTGAATAAATATGCAAAAATAGAATTTTCATAGTTAAGCAGAGCCGGTGGTAAATATTTTGTCCCCCTCCCACTACAACCTTTGTGGGTCCTAAATTCTAAAAATTTTGCTGCCTCCCAGGTCCACTTGCTGTCCAGCAACTCCTTTGCCATCCCTAAATTTTGCTGTACATTAATGCTCCAAGTTCTAAAAATTTTGCCACCCAGTGCGACTGCACTAGCTCTTAATGCCATCCCTGGTGATAAATATCTTAGAAGAATGTACACATCATTTACTACATGTTCTGCATGGTGAGTCTGAATTCAGTGTATATGGATCACTTTTCATAACATATGGTGGATGACCAGCAATCAGAATTGGAGAATGTCAGTTCAGTCTACGTGTATGCAACTTTTAAACATTCAACTAACACTATCACATTTTTGTCATTTGTCCTTATCTTTTTCCTTTCTGTTTAGAACAGGATGTGGATAAATGTATGGGGGTATGAGTAATTTTATGACATCCATGCACAAAAACATGCAAGAGTATGTTTGTAATGAGAGATCAGATGAACTAATTTACACTGCTTGACAACTGCTAATGAACAGTTACATTTTTTGGAATGATTAATAATAGACATTGATTGAAGAAATGAAACTAAGTACATACTTAGACAGTATGCATTTATTGTTATGCAAATGGTATAGATATCATCACATCAAAAAATAAAAACAAAAATTATACTCCTTACACGATTCTCAAAGAACACAAAAAAATGGGTAAATGCTTGCCAGAATGGAAAAGATATGTGTACCTCAGTAAGATGTGTGACTACCTCGGACACTAATACATATTTTGCATCTGTGAATATTCCCCAAGGACTCTTCAATAGTTTAGTGGAATTCATGCTTTCCACTAAACTATTGAAGAGTCCTTGGGGAATATTGTGCCACTCCTCTCTCAAGGTGGTTTTTACTCTTGCCTGTTTCGGGGAGAGAGTGTTCTTTGAGAAACACATCTGGCAAGGGCATCTCAGGATATAGGATTTTGGTCGGGGGAGTAAGCAGGCTATTGCATATGGACAATATCTTCACTCTATAGTGTGTCCGATACCTCAGCACTCCTGTGTGGTCTCACATTATCATCCATAAGCAGAAAGTATGAACCTATCGCAACCTTAAAACGATGAATATGTTCCAGAATAATCTCCATGAAATATCGCTGGGATTTTACATTACCACGCTCAAAGATATGAAGTGACGTTTTGCCGTTATGTATGATGCCTGCCCACACCAGCATGCCTAGGCCATATCAATCACGTTTATGGTCATACTGTTGTGCATAACATGTTCGTCTCTCTCTCCACACTAACTGGTGGCTAGAATCACTCGTCACAGTGAAACGGGATCATTCTGGACCACTGTTGATAACCTCAACTAGTATGTTCCTTACATTAATGTAATCTTTCTCGATGGTGACACATTTGAAGCATGATGCATCAAACAGGCTCTCATGCATACAGACCAACTGCATTTTTAATCACTATGAGATGATTCTGACAGAAACAAATACGTATGCAACATATGGTGCTCTTTTGGTCTAGCACTTAATAGCATGAATTTTCGAATGAATTAAGAGCTTGTGTGCACTTCCTTTTATGCAGGTCCTGCTCTATCATGCCCTCTGCACTTGATTTTACTGGTAGGCTGTTGGGAATGCTACTTTGGATAAAGTGGTTGTTCCTTAGCAATTGTCCAGCAGTGTATTATGATGAGGAAATGTTAAAGTAGGTTTCAGAGACTGCATTAGTTGTCTTAGTTATGATACAAACTTTTCAAAGGGTGATGATAAATTACTATGCAGATACAATATCAGAGTAATTTAAGATCTATTCTGTATACTAATTCTGCAGATGTAGCATTTATATCAAATTTCACTTCAGATCGATTGCCTAGTAACACAATGGAGATAGTCCATCTAGAATTACTATTGGCAATCAAAGTGCATTTAAGAAGACTATGAAAACCAAGGAGGGTGCAAACAATGAAATGTATCCTCCCAAATGTTTTCTTGCATCAAAAATTAAAAATTAAATGGGGAGGACATTATTTTGTTACTTTTTTTTTATTGAAAGTCTTTTTAAATTGCTTTGTGCTCTTTCTCTCTTAACTCACATAAGCCTATTAAGGCTTATCCCTATTATTCACTAAACAGTAGAAGAACATGTATTCTAATGATCAAGTTAGTGAACAGGTATTGTTCACATTTATTAAAAGCACACTTGGGGATCTGATGAGATTAAACTAATGATCCAAATTTAACATATACAGTCAAAAGTCGTTAATCCGGACTCGTCGGGACTTCGGCGATTCCGGATTATCGATTTTTCCGGATTATAGATCATCAGTTTAAATCTCGTAAGATGGCATGCAGAAATTCTAAAATTAAAAATATGAAACCGTAATTTATGAAATAAAGAACAATTATGATCTAAAGGGTATCAAAATTTGTAAAAAGAAAAAGCTTAATATTTATTTGTTTACTTAAATAAACATTTCTTTCAATGTAAGTTGTTTAAGTTTTGCTTCGTTTCATGTGATAATACTTTCTCTTTAATTTTATAAACAGACATAATTTCTTGTTCAGTTTTACAAAGTTCCGCTGTTCAAGTCCTATAATTGCTGTGTCAAGAACACCGACTAATTTGTCAATCGAAATTTTTTTTCGTTTTCAATAACCTCTGTTACTTTTCTTCGCTATCGGAAGCGAATTATAATGACGAGGAACTTGTTTTTAAATCATATCAAAGACGGAGCATATCGAGTTGAAATACTACATTTGGTAAGGAATTATAAAGCCAAATAAAATAAAAACATCTGATCTTCAATTATAAGCCAAATAAAATAAAAACATCTGCCCTGAAGATAAGGATAGTGCTGACAGATCAACTTCCAATTCATTACGCGCCCGCCGCGAGGCCTTTTCCCCGCCGAGCAGCGTGAAATTGATAAACAGATTTCGGATTTCAAAACATACTTTCGCTTTAGATCCTTTACATATTAACAAATATATATCGGAAATTCTATTTGATATAATCGAAAGTTTAAGCTTACTTTTATAAAATTGCTCTTACAGTCTGCAAAAAATAATAAGCCGGATCCAATTCGAAAATTAAGGAACAACGCAATCATCAACATTAACTGAAATAGATAATTAGATAATTTTAGCTTATACGTCCGTTATACATAAAACGCGCACGCGAAAACGTATTCTGCACTTGCGCACACTCATATGCGCATTCGTAAAAGGTCTTACGCGCACGCGTAAACGTCTATGCGCATGTGTCAACGCGGCGCATGCGCAGAAAGTTTTTAGTTTTGAGGTCCGGATTATAGATCATTCCGAATTATGGGTGTCCGAATTAACGACTTTTGACTGTATGGTAGGACACAGTGAGCTAGCTAGGGTCGTACTCCTAACTTGAGTTGAACCCCAAGCCCAGCTGAAATTGCCCTGGGGGGGGATAAGAAACAGGCAGATTGATTCCTTAGGATCCCAGCCCCTGTTATTTCAGTTCTGCTTTTAAAAATACTTTTGACTTGAATCCAGGTACTTCTACAAACCCTATAGCTGGAATTCAAATCTCTCTCCAAGATGAAAAATACAATGAATCAAATTTGGGAATTGTAAATTATCTGTTGAAGGGAAACTTGATTTTGTAGAAAATACTTGAGTCCAGCAACAAAATGCTTGTTTCAGAGGTCTTCATTTGGCAATGAAAATGTAAATTGAAGATTTAAATATACATTATTATTTGATTACACTTGGCCGACTTATTTTAAAATTAAAGATGGAGTATATTGTAAATATTGTGTAATATTTACTAAGAAATATGCAGACCAATCAAACATTCAAGCTTTAAGGCAATCAGTAAGCGAGTTTTTTGACAATTGAAGAAAATTTAAAATAACAGTTAGAGAAAAATTCTGTAATCATTAAGAGAAAAAATATAAAAATTCCTTATTATCTGCTGGTAGTTTAAAAAATATTATCATGGAAAAAGCAGTTCAAAAGTGTAAATAAAATTTGTATTGTCCGTCCCCATCAAGTTAACGAAATTTAAAAGAAAAGTTATTCAAAGATAAAACCAATGATCGTCAGTTGGAGAAAGGGATTTCCATTAAGAGTTCATTGTAATTCTGTGTAAATGAATGTTAATGATGGTATTGTTTAATCTCATCATAATGAAGGAAACTTTCACCAACTACTCAGGTTTCAAATAGATACAGGTATTAAAAAATTATTTAAAGTCATTAGCAGAAGGCAGCATATTTTTCACAAAAAATACAAAATTAAATCATAAATGCCTGGAAATAAAATTATTGAAAAAGGTTGTTGCAAAAGTGAATGCAAACAAATGCTTTTCAGTTATAGTTGAAGAAACTACAAGCATTTCGTATCAAG